GAGAAAGATGGTAGTTTTTTTTTTTTTTTTGAGACCGAGCTCAAGCTATCCCCCTGGGTAGAGTGCTGTGACATCATAGCTCACAGCAACCTCCAACTCCTGGGCTCAAGCAAGTCTCCTGCCTCTGCCTCCCAAGTAGCTGGGACCATACGTGCCCACCACAACGCCCGGCTATTTTTTGGTTGCAGCTGTCGTTGTTGTTTTGGCGGGCTCGGGCTGGATTCGAACCCGCCACCTTAGGTGTATGTGGCTGGCGCCTTAGCCACTTGAGCCACAGGCACTGAGCAGAGAAAGATGGTAGTTGAAAACAGAAGAGCAGTAGCATGATGCTGATGAAAGAAGAATCCCAAGATAATAAGAAGAATCAAGAATGATTTCCATTTTTGGCCCAAGCATCTGGAATAATACCATCACATGAGATGAAGAAGGCTGCAAGCAGAACAGATTTGGGAGTTGTTCTGTTTCCCAGGCTGGAATGCAGTGACATGATGATAGCTTAGAGTAAACTAGAACTCTGGGAATCAAGCAACGCTTCCACCTCAGTCTTCTGAGTAGCTGCCACTACACCCAGCTAAATAAAACAAATTCTTTTTTTTTTTGAGGCAGAGTATCAAGCTGTCACCCTAGGTAGAGTGCCATGGCATCATCATAGCTCACAGCAACCTCCAACTCCTGGGATTAAGTGAGCCTTTTGCCTCAGTTTTTTCTATTTTCAGTAGAGACTAGGTCTTGATTTTTGCTCATGCTGTTCTCGAACTTGTAGCTCAAGCAATCCACCTGCCTCAGCCTCCCAGAGTGTTAGGATTATAGCAGTGGTTCTCAACCTTCCTAATGCTGCGGCCCTTTAATACAGTTCCTGTGGGTCACGACCCATAGGTTGAGAACCGCTGGGTTATAGGCATGATCCACCGCGCCTGGTCCATATACATATATACATATTTTGAGACAGACTCTTACTTTGTTACCCAGACTAGAGTTTCATGCTATCAGCCTAGCTCACAGCAGCCTTGGACTCCTGGGTTCAAGTGATCCTCCCACCTCAGCCATGCTGGTACCTGCCACTACAGGTGCCTGCCACAATACCTGGCTAATTTTTCTACTTTTAGTAGAAATGGGGTCTTGCTCTTGGTCAGGCTGTTCTCCTGAGCTCAAGCAGTCCTGCCTCGGTCTCCTTATAGGCATGAGCCACTGTACCTGGCCAACACCAAGATTATTGATGACCTTGACAAGAATAGTTCTGTGGAATATTGTGATAAAAGCCTGAAAGATTTTTTTTTTTTTTTT